AAAAAAAAAAAAAAAAAAAAAAAGGAGGGGGCACTATTGTATGAGGAATAAGTGCTGGGACCACACCTTCAACAGGGATGGCAAAATAACTTGCAAGCGATTTAAATAAGGAAAACAAGTGCTAGTAGGTCCGAGCAACGTTCCTACTTGTGGCAGCTGTTCAGTTACGGAGTGAATTAAATTAACGCACATCATCGTAACTCCGGCACGTTCCTGGCTGAGTGCTCGACTTTGCAACTTTAAGATCCTTTTTACGTTGGGTTCTTACGTGATATTTATGTTGTTCCAATAGATGTGTCCATGGTTTCTTTTACAGCTTAGTATAGCGTTGCATTTTTGTAAAGGCTCCTTACAAATGGGGAACCGCAGCTTTAAAACCAAATTTTGTGTCAAACACTAACAATTTGTTTACGGGGCGCGTGTATGTGTGCGTGCGTGCGTGTGTGGGTTTGTTTTTTTTATTTTATTTCTTAATTCCTAAGCCCTACTCATACGTCTCAGAAATAGTCCCTGGGTCTTATTAAAATATATCCTTTTTTGTTTAGGTTGAGTTCAGTTTTTACAGAATGCTTTAAGCAACCTGGAAAACGTGTAGTTTTGTTAATTTAAATAAAATACACAATATTGTGGGTTTGTTGTCGGCCTGGTTCACTGGCTGCCAAATCACAGCTCTGCTTGTAGTTGGTCTTTTACTTCAGGTAGCTGCCAGTTGCACAACTTGTTGCTGGGGGCGAAGGTTTCCTCGCTTGGACAATTTTCTCCCACATCTCCGTCCAGATACTTTGCAGCTAACGGCTTTTTGACCTTTCAGACCTTTCCTTTAGGACTAATCGTTGGCGGAGCCGTTCCTGCCTCGCCTCCGGTGCGGGGTTACAGCTCCCGTGGGAGCGGGATGGGCAGGACTAGGCTGTGAGCCGAAGTCTGCTCCCACTACGGGGCACATCCGTTGGGTTTTCCTTAGGGCTCTGTCCCCTGGACCTGCCTGTCCCTGTGCCAGCCCTGGAGCCGTCACACCGCGGCTGGGAACTCTACGTGTTGGCCGTTGCCCTACGTGACCAAGATTTTGGGGGTCTCCCTGCATCTGCTGCTGTATTCAAAGGTGCTGCCTCATGCGGTTCCCCATGTTGTCTTTTTGTCTGGAATCCAGAGAAAAAAAAAAAGGGTTTCCCAGGACTTGTACTTAAGGAGTAATGGAAAATTTGATGACAACAGCTTGAAGTTCCCATTGTAACAGGGGCTGCCTCGATAAAGCGGCACATGAGAGGGAGGGGAACTGGGCTGCCAGGTTTTAGGCAGAGCCTGCGGCTCCGTTTCTGCTGCAGCCCCTGTTGGCTACAGCATCTCTGCCCGGGCGAGGAGCTGGGGCTGCCCAAAGACAAACTAGAGGCAGTACGGCCCTTTCAGGACCTAATGAAATTCAAAAGAGCAAATTCATGAATTTTAAATAACTGTAGAACCACCGCCACCCTCCCATGGGCCTTCTCTTCCTTCTGATTTAGGCTCTTTGTTGGCTGGGGCGCAGCCCTGCCCTGGCAGGGCTTTGCTGCCCTCTGCCGCCAGCTGAACACGGCTTTTGGCCAGAGGAAAGGAGAAATAATAAATAAATCCCTCACCTCTCAAAATATGGGGAATTGCTTTATGCCTAGAAATCCCGATGACCTGCTCGGGGGTCAGAGCTGTCCCAGGAGCTTCGTGCTGCTGGGCAGGGAGACGATGAGAACCGGTGAGGAATGGGAAAAACTACCTGAGCGTTTCTTGTAAAGGCCACTTGGTGTTGGTGCGAGCAGCCAAAGGGAGGAGAAGGGAAACGGGTTATGACAGACTTCGGTGGGTGAGCTGGGGACCACAGTTCTGAGGTCAGCAAATGGCCTTTGGTTGGAACAGTTTGACTGTTTCACAGAATCCCAGAACCATCCGGGTTGGAAAAGCCCTCGCAGCTCCTCCAGCCCAACCATGAGCCTCCCCCTGACCGTTCCCAGCTCCCCCAGACCCCTCAGCGCTGGCTCAGCCCGACTCTTCAACCCCCCCAGGGATCCCGGGGACTCCCCCCTGCCCTGGGCAGCCCATTCCAACGCCCAACAGCCCCTTCTGCACAGAAATCCTTCCTCAGAGCCAGCCTGACCCTGCCCTGGGCAGCTTGAGGCCATTCCCTCGGGGCCTGGCGCTGGGGCCTTGGCTCCAGAGACTCATCCCCCCTCTCTGCCCCCTCCTGGCAGGGAGTTGCCGAGGGCCAGGAGGTCTCCCCTCAGCCTCCTCTTCTCCAGACTGAACCCCCCAGTTCTCTCAGCCACTCCTCATAAGACTTGGTGATTGGTTTTTTTTTGTTTGTTTGGGGTTTTTTTTTTATTAGACTGCTTTCTATGTTTTCTGGGACCACAGTCTTTCTGCTCTAAAACCAACTTGTGGCTGAAGAGCAGAGCAAGGAGCTGCGGCAGACCCTGACATGCTGGTGAGGTTGGGTGTAAGCGTGTGGCGCTGGGGCGACTCTCTCCAGACAGAAACCTCAGTGTGGGGGACGGCGATGCTGGAGCCCCCCCTTGCTCCCGCCCTCCAGGAGCCACAAGAAGTCTGTGCTGTGAGTTCTGGGAGGGACTGGGGGAAGTGGGCTTGTGACCTCGATGTCCATCCCTTGGGAAGGGGACATTAGATCTAGGAAAGGCCCAGGGAAAAATGATCAAAATAACCACAGATTCTGTGGCTGTGTGTCACTGCACAGCTGCCAGCCACGAGCTCCAGCCTGCGGGATGGATCTGGCCTCTGTTTTCCAGCTTAAAAATGGAAGAAGCCACTTGTGATGGGGCCAGTTTGAGTGTCCCAGCAGGCTGTCCCCAGGTCTGACAGTGCTGTCAGCACTGCCTGGGGAGAGCAAGGTGCTGCTGTTTTCTCCTTTTTAAACCCGCTCCCATC